GATGTTTTAGAAAAAACATATCATTTACCTAATTTAACTAATATTCTTAGTCTACTCAAATCAATTAATTATGTCTTATATTAAGGACAAAGTAGTGAGCTCCAAGCCAAGTCTCTTTTGTTTTAACATTCAGTATATAGCAAAAAAAATGATAGTATGTCTTATCCGCAAGCAGTTTATGTTTTGTGTTCTTTTTCCCATTTTCACGGGTGGAATTAGTTTTGGCTTCAAAGCTACCAAGAAGTGTTGTAGCAACACATCAAAAAAGCTCACTAATTTCAAACTTCTCAAGGCTTCACATCAAAATTTCCAGGCACTTGATATAACTTCACGTCCTCTATGCATGGTTATTAACAGTAAACTGAACCATTTAATGAAAAAATGCCGAGTCTCGTTAAATTTTAAGAGTATATATGGAGGATGAAAATATATTAGGAAAGATGATATATCATTACTTGTAATGATAAAGAATACGATTTGATAGGATTTAAATAAGTTTAGAGTGTTTTTAATGAAAAATAAATAAGAATTTAACATTACTCCTAACATACGCCCAATTAGTCATATTTACATATTTATTTTTAAAGTATTAATATTTTCATTCTATTAAGAATCAATTGGGGTATATGTACAACATGCCTCCTCCCTGAATATCTCAAAAGGTTCACCTCTGATAGGCAAAAGCTGGATACTGCAATGAGTCCAAAGGAAACGGGCCTGGCTAGATTGGAAGATGATGAGGCAATATAAAAGGACAATATATTTTTGAATCAGAAATATGTGCTGAGAAATGAGGAAAACCTTCTTACTGTTGTTCCTGGCGATTCAAAGCTATTGAAGTTCATATGTCAGCAAAAGGATTTGTTAGACAAAGGAACTAGATGGATTTTGAGAGATGGGCATTCTATAAGCTTCTTTAATGACTTCTGGCTCTTCCCAAACAGGAAAATTAAAGATTGGGGCCTACGAGATTTGTCTGATGAGGAAAATGAGAGTGTAGTGGCGGACTGGGTGTCAAACAGATCATGGGATTTTCAAAGACTAAAGTCAGTGGTCAATAAGGAAATATTACAGAGATTGATGAGCATTCTAAGTCCTTCTGATGCCGTGGACATGATTTAATGTCTTGGAATGCCTCTAGTAACGTAATTTTCAGTCTTAAGAGCGCTTATTATCTTCTGGAGGAAAATCCATGCTCTCTTTATAATCCAACTTTCAACCTTATATGAAAATGGAAAGGGGTTTGAAAGGGTTCGAGTCTTTCTTTAGAGAACCTTTCTGGATAGACTGCCTACAAAAATATGGAGAAGTAAACGGTCGCATTGTTCTGCCTTATGTTCCCACTGTATGGCAAGTAATGAGGATATATTACATATCCTAAGGGACTGTGATTATGCAAAAGACTTATGGCGGGGAATTGTGAATCCTCTATATTTCTCGTCTTTTTTCCTGCTTCCTTATGTGATTGGATGTCTTTGAATCTTAAGAAGAATATGGGGAGAGATGGAATTGGAAAATGGGACTTAATTTGGGGTGTTGCAGTGTGGAAACTTTGGCATTGGAGGAGTGAAGTTCTATTTAACAACAACTATGTGAAACCTGATGATCCTCTCAAGGTGATTTGCCATATTTGGAAGAATTATGTATTTGAACCTGAGATTAAGGATTATGATGATAATGTAAAAGCTGTCATGACTTGTGGCTGGTCTCCTCCTCCTCCTGAATGGGTCAAAATAAATGTGGACGGTGCAGTCAATACTCATTCGAGTGATGCTGGATGTGGGGGAGTGATAAGGAACCATAAAGGTGATTGGATAGTGGGATTCTCTTGTAAGATCAGAAAATGCAATGTTCTGGATGCTGAAACATGGGCTATATTTAAGGGCTTGAGCTTGGCCTTGGATTATGGGTCTAAACAGATCATTCTGGAATCTGATGCTAAATGACTGATTGAGATGCTGACATCAAAGGAGGCTACTTTAAACTGCAGCCTTACAGTACTGCGAATACAGGATTTATTAAAACGCAGTTGGGAAGTCCATCTGAGGCATACAAATCGAGACAGTGATGGTGTAGCGATCATTTAGCAAAGAAAGGAATTTCTACTTCAGCTTTATTTGACACGTGCCCTCTTGAATTGAGGGTCATTGTGGAAAAGGAGAGCTTGGGATCTAGTCCCCATCTACTTTAGTTTTATTTTGGGCGCAGCCCTCTCTTGTATTAAAAAAAAAAAAGGGACAATATAAGCTCAGATGAGGCTCTCATGAATTAGCTTCCAAAGATGCTTCACAACCCTACCCGGTACAACTTTAATCTAACCAATTAAGTTTCAAACTCAGATCCTGAGAAGGAAATCTCTTTAATGTGGGACAATAGTTTTTCACAAACTCTCACGATAATGTGCATATAATAAATCACAACAATGGTAACAGAATATATGATAATATGAAATTTTACCAAATTCCTTTTTTATGAATTTCTAGTATGCCAGCTACCAAAAACATTATTTTATTTTTAAATAACATAGGTTCTGTATAAGTAATATTTTTGTTTACTAGAAGTTTCATATTATACTTTGATTAAATTAATTTAAAAAACTGTGATAGTGTTTGTGTTAGATGAAACAAACAACTACATATCGTCAGTGATAAATTAGAGATAAGCTACAAGAATTATACTAGTTCAGTCCCTTGTCCTATATCTAGTCCTCTTGAAAACTACTGAAGAGATTTTCTCACCATTAAAATCCGATTATAATCCCACTAATTTTGCAATGAGCTCACCTACAACTCTTACAAATCACAATTCCATAATTTTTCCATAACTTACTCGTAATTGGTAACTAGAGTTTTACACAGTTCACTCCAAACTAAAACAAAATGTGCAAAAAGTAGTTTACAGCTGATAGGAAATGCAATTCTGCCTCATGAAAATTGTTAATTCCATAATACCCACAAAGCTCTTAATGTTGAAGCCTAAAGAAGCACAACACCAGGAATAATCAAATTTTCAATCCAAACGTAAAATGAGCAACAAAGTAATGCTGCTTTTCTGGTAACATGCAGAAATAATGACCATTGATAATTTTTCGCCTGTAACTCTTGAATTAGCTAAAGGGGATTCCTATAGATATTAGCTTTTTTCCCCGCCTTCCTTGTTCCTCATATGACTCTTCAAAACAGAGCAATTCAACAAGCTCCCTCACCTATTTTGACATGATTCATTAAAACACAATATTAGATTAAATTCAACAACATATGAATCCCTTCAATCACAATAATTAAAAAAATGCATTACCTAAGATGTGGCATCTTCAAGAAACATTTGGCCATTTCTATGCTCATTGAAAGCCAATAACATTCTGCTTGTGAAACTTTAGATCAAGTCACTGAAAAAGGGGGAAAAAAACAACATCCAATAAAATAGGGGAAAAAAACCATCAGCCAAATTTTAGCTTTGTGCCTTACAAGCAATTTGTGAATAAAAAAATACTCCTCAATTCCTTAATATATGATCTAATTGGAGAGTTTATATTGGTCTAATATGTAAGACTTATTTCTCATATTTATTATTTTTTTTCCTCGATATTTCCTCAATAACACTCAAGTAGGGGAGGGAAGAGAATTAAGAAAGATGCTTAGAGTTTTTTGGAAAAAAATATGCCATATTAACTAATTTAATTAACATTCTTCTTCCTTTACTCAAACTAGTTAATTAGGTTTTATATTGAGGATCGAAGGAATATAAGCTTCATATGATGATTATATTAAATTAGAAACATTTAAATTAGTAACTTTCTCCAAAAAGCAAGGAGGCTCATGCAAATCAGGCTGGCTGATCCTTTACCTTGAAACAACAATCTTGAGACGGTGATCGATGCCACAAAATCCTCAAGGACAGGCATGTTAAAGGAGGCTCTGCAATCATTTTGAATTACCCCCAAATGTGACAAGCATACGCATCTCATATATGCCTGCATAATAATTGTAAATTTTATTTTTGAAAGAGACAAGAAGATTAAACGTTCTAGCTATAATTGTAAATTAAATTTTAGACAATAGTTACCGTAGTAGCACTATTTTTGTCCTGATAAATCCTACGTCTTCGTATAAAAAGAAAATTGAATAGCTTGTTTCACAAGATTCATACTTTTTTTTTTTAAAAAAAAGGAGAGGCATTGATATGATGTTATCGGGTGAGCAAATTTTTTTTGAGGTACAAGGGAGCGGGCTCGAACCTGCACGCACACACCCAACACACACCACACACTATTCGGCCAAGCAGCCAGTGGTCGGGGGAGCAAATTTTTGAATATGTTTGCCTGTTTGTGTGTGTGTGTGTTTTTTTTTGGGGGGGGGGGGGGAGGGGTAATAGGCAAGATCTAGCCTTATAATGTTGATATCGATTCAATGATGAAGAAAGGAACATATCATAGTTTTCATTTGCGTTGCGAACGAGGGAAAAAAAAAAAGGAAAAAAAGTACATGCCAATAGATACTAATATGTTTATTTGTTGTAAAATTTGAGAGCTCACCTTTTGAAGAAATGCGACATCTCAAGGATCATAATATACTCCTGTTTTTAATGTATGATTTAATTATTGACCTTCAAATAATTAGGCATATTTCCGAACGTAAGAATCTCCAAGGATGGAAATGGCTTAAATGAAGAGGAGGAAATTCTTCCTGAGCTCCTTTTATATTGTCTAACCTGGTAACATCAAAACAAAGAATCAGATCCACTAAAATTAAAAGCTTTTAGATATTTTTATAAGAAAAAAACATGTAACATTTGAAAAAAAAAAAAAGGACTATTATTTAGCCAACCTCAACAACTGGGTTAGCTTTTGCCTGACTTCTTTGCATATCATATCTCTCTCCCTTTTATTTAAAGCATAATTATACTGCTTTGTCATCTCCTCAAACCTGATTCATCAAAACATAATAAATCTTATAAAATCAGAAATATTACTTAACAAATATATCATAACCCCCATCTCATTAGTCATCACAAACATAAGAAAGCTGAACAAACTAGAGACCCATCTGTGACAAAATCAAACCTCCTATGCGACAAGGCTGTGTGTGTGTGTTTGTGTTTCATACTTAACTCATCATTAGTATCACATGATAACTAATTATTGACCATTGCAAACTAAAAATGACATCATCGATTATTCTCTCTCTTTCTTCAGATGTGCAAAAATGGCATAAAAATCTGCTTATTCAAACGAAAATCTAAAACAATAAGTTGGCAGAAGCATGATATGATTTTTGTTTTGTTTTTATAAAAAGAAAGATAGAAAGGTGGAAGTTGCTAGCTTTAACTTTAAATCTCACACAAAATTACCATAGCAGTGATATTATTATGTTGATAAGAAAGCACAGCAGTACTTCAAATTAAGTCACATGCTTCAGAGGACTAGAAGTTTTTCGGGAAAAGAAAAATAGCAGACGCAAAGATGGTCCTGCAGGCTGAGCAAATTTTACAACTTGAGGTATATGTGATGTAGGAAAGATGCTTCCTATAGGCTATAATATTGATGGATGCCATAATCATAACGGGAAGACAAAATTTTTATGTGCTTTGGGGAAATGATGAGAACGTAATTGCAAGAAAAAAAAAATACTGAAATGTTTTGGAAATCGAGAGCTTACCTTTAGATGGAATGTACCAAGGATCATGGTATTCGCCATTAATTATTATGGTGGGAATATGAGTGATCTTGGACAAGTGTCTGCCTCCTTGAAAATGGTATCTTGCTTCTAATTTAGGACAGCTCCAAATATTCAGAAACAAAAGAGAGGATGGCAGGCAATCTTCTGGCAAGGATTCAAGCTTTGGACAGCCATAAATGGAGAGCCTCTTTAGAGAAGTAAGGCGGTGAAGCCCTTTTCCATCTAACAATTCAAGATTGTGGACATCAGAGATGACCATACGCACAAGAGAAGTGGGCATCATTTGATTCTTCAGTAAATTCTGGAGAATATTTTCAATTCCACTACCTTCAACCTCAAACTGAGACAAAGAAGTCAGACGATGAAAGCCCCAATTTTCAAAAGGTATTGGAGATAGTCCATTGCAGCCACGAATGATCAAATATCGCAAGTTAGAAGGCAAGCCACATTGAGGTAATGATTCCAAATTTGGAAGCCATTCAAGAGAAAAGAATTGAAGGCTGGCAAGGGAATTAACATGTACTTCTGACATTGATCCAAGTTTTTGACAATGGTGGACCGCTAACTTTTCTAAGGAAAGATTGGACCTCCCAACATTTGTAAAGGTCTCCAAATTATGACATTGAAAAACTACAAGTTTTTTAAGCCTGGGAAAACAATCTAATGGAAAGGATATCAAGGAATGACAGCTATTATCAATCATCAATTCTTCAATTGATGTTTGGCTTCGCCAAGATTCCTGAGGCATGAACTCTAATTTCTCACAGTCTTGAATTAGAAGTCGTTGTAAAGAAGTGGGTAGACTGTCAGTTGGGAAGAACATGATTGATGGGGCACCAAAGAGAAACAACTCTTGGAGACAGTGGCAGTTCACTGTCATTCTCGGCAAACATTGCAAATTGTAACACCTTTGAATTGTCAGATGTTTTAGAGAGCTGAGAGAATAATCATCAAGGGCTCTCAATAAACCTTGTCCCCCTTGTAAGATTTTTAACTCTTCAATAGATGTGATCCATTGCGAAGATAATGATTTTGCCTCCAACTGTTCACAATTAGATATATAAACCTTTGTCAATGATGGTAGTTTCACAGGCATGTCTCCCCTCAACATAGGACAATAAGATAAACGCAGTTGTCTAAGATGAGGAAAAGGGAATTTGGCAGCTTCACCTTCAAATGGTATCCACTCCTCCCAAACTGGCATATCTTCAAATTCCAGAATTTCCAATAATGGAAATGGTTGAAATGAAGAGGGCTGAACTCTGTTGTAGTAGAACTCACGCCCAATTATCTGTACTAATCCCATTCTTCTAATCAAGAGCTCTTTGAGAGAAGGTAATTGTCCAAACGGTGGGAGTGAAAAGCAATATTTGCAGTTACTGACAGATAAAAAGGTAATATATGTAAATGAAGAATCACCCACCCACTTTGGAAAACTAGTGCCACCATAATAGTCTATCGTCAGTCTTTGTAAATTTGTTGAAGGTTGAAGCATGTCAAGTAACATTTTCACAATCTGTGAATCTTGAGTATCATCACCGTCCCATTTTAACACTAAATCCTCAATTTTCTCTCTCCTCCTCAAGTTTGCATCTAAAGCATCCTCTGAATCCACAACATTTTGTAGCTTCAAAATGGAAAGTTTACCTTGCAGATGAGGAAGTTTGTTTAACTCTTTAATTCCTAATCCATTTGATAGTTTGCCCACCATAAAGCTACTCAAACTTTGAAGATTTTGTAATTCTGTAATTTGTGTTGGCATCTCTTCCAAAGCTGTGCCGCTAATGTCTAGGTGACGTAGATTAATAAGATTTTTTATCTTTTCTGGCAATTCAATGAAATTCCTACAATATGATAAAAGCAAGGTTTGCAGATTGTGAAGTTTAAAAAATGCATCAGGCAACCTTCTAATTGGAGTGTAGGAAAGGTCAAGATATCTCAAATGCTGCAAATCACCAATTGAATCAGGCAACTCATTGACATTGTCATAACAAGACAAAGATAATACTCTCAAGCGTTTTAATCTCGGCAACAAATCATGTATCACCTTTCCAGTCAAATAGGATGGAAACGCCCAGCCATACTTAGATTGAGGTAAAAAAGTCCTCAAACAATTTAACTGATCAAAATTCTCGAACATTTTGGCACCATCATACCGTTTTCTAGTATATGATAAATGACGAAGAGTTTTTGGAATTTCATTGCCTTCAAACCATAGACAACTCTTTCCCGATACAACTTTGGCTAAATCATTGATGAGATCATGCATCAAAAACTTTCTTGGATCACCTTCATATTGTTGAATGAATGACCTAGACAATAATTCATTGAAGCACTCATCTGCTTTTGCCTCCAATGTTTTCTTCCCATGGGAGTGTGGAGGAACAAAGCCTTCAGCCATCCATAACAAGACCAATTTATTTTTCTCCAACAACAGATCTTTCGAAAAAATTGAGCAATAAGCGAAACATTTCTTCAAATGTGATGGAAGAGCGAGATAACTCAGACGCAAAGCTGGTAAAACATCATCATTTGGTATGTCCCACAGGTTGTTATTAAGAATTTTATTCCATTCCGTTGCATCCACTTTTGAACGTAAAAGACCTCCTATTGTTTTAGCAGCAATGGGAAGGCCACTACATTTTCTTGCAATTTTTCTTCCAATTGCTTCTAGCTGTGGATATTTATTTGGATCTTCATTTGCAAATGCATGCTTGGAGAGTAAAAACCAACAGTTATCATCTGAGAGACAACTCAATTTATGTACGGGAAATGTATGTGTGATTTCAACAACTCTTTGCTGGCGAGTTGTTATGATGATCTTGCTTCCCCTTCTTCCACTGTGAAAAGGAGTTATGAGATCATCCCAATCACTATACTTTTCGTTCCATAGATCATCCAACACTATCAAAAACTTTTTATTACTTAGTCTATTTCTTAATTTAACACGAAGGTAGTCTATATCTGTGCTATTATAGACTTTTGAAGTGATGGACTCAACAAGATTTTTGGTCAACCTGAATAGGTTAAAATCATTTGAAATACAGGCCCAAACCTTTAAATCAAAATTGTCCTGGACAGTCTTATCATTGTAAAGGAGTTGTGCAAGGGTAGTTTTACCCAAGCCTCCCATACCCCAAATAGTGATCACTCCTATAGCATTACCCTTCGGATCTTCATCACACAGAAGCATTTTCAATAGTTTCTCCTTATCATCCTCTCTACCAACCACAACAAATTCATTTACCAATGATGTTGTAGGTGTTTTATGCCCTCTCGTGCTAACACTTTGCAAACCAAGGATATCCTTTTGTTTGACAAAGTTTTCAAGCCTTCGAGATGTTGCTTCTAGCTTGGAGTTCATCTCCAAATAAAATTGACCAAAAGAAGGAGAAAAGAAGGATCTCACCTTGTTTGTGACACCTTGAGAATCTTTCTTCATCTTGCATCTTAGAGACTCCGTGTGGATTTCATCCAGTAAATCCTCTGCATCATAAACAGCATCTTTCAGTTCTTCAAGCCATTTATTGATTCCATCATTGGTAATCTGCTTCTCTTCTGCATCATTGAGGATAGCATCAAGCATCAACAAAGTCATCTTCAACTCATCCAAGAGAGATACATTCAACTTTCTGTTTTTCATGAAATCTCGAAACTCGCTGGAGGTAATCCTCTCCAGTAAGGTCTGCAAAGAAGCAGAGAGCAATGCTTGTCCCACAGCTGCTGCAGCCATAGCTTCTTTTTGTATGGTGGCCGAGATAATGAGAGTGAACAGAGTTTGATCGGAAGAGATAGAATGAAGCTAGTTTAGATTAATCGAGAAAATTAAACCATTAAATGTGGACGTTTAATGACTTCTGACCACGGTGTGCCTCAGTACATTCTGGGAAATATCCCATCTGCTTCTCAAAATGATACAAGGGGGATATTGCAAGGAAGATAAGAAGGACATGTGTTTTTAATATGGTAGGCCATGCCCAGTGACATTTCCGTTTTTTTCTTGAAAGAGCCTACGCAAGAATAATTAATTGTCCCAAAATCTTTATTTATAATTGTTATTTTGAAAATTTGATGTCCTCAATTATTTTTGATCCCTCAGATAGTCCCAAATATCATTTTTCCTAATTGTTTTGGTTAGACTACCTTCAATCCTTAATGTAAAATCTAATTGACTAATTTGAAAAGATTAAGAAAGTTACTTAAATTAGTTATTTGTAATAAATAGATATTTTTTTTCTAAAATACTCTTATTAATCATGTGTGTCTAAATTACAATTAACAGTAACTCATCAACATATAAAACTACTATAAAGATTACTTGAAAAAAATAGATAAATATTAGAGACAAAGTGGATTGATGTTTTATATTTAAAACTAAATTAAAAGCTAAACTAGCTTTTATATTAATAATCAAAGGTAGTAAATACCCATTTTTCTATAGGGAATGCGGAAACTAAATGTAGTGAATTGAAGCTAATTCGATAGTCAAATTAAAATAGAGAGCACGCTATTTTTTCAACTCAAGGGTCGAAAAAACAATGCGGGTTTTGAAATTTAAAAAAAAATCATTTTGCAAAACAGGTAAAAAAAAAAAAAGGTAAAAGAAAATATCTATGTCTCGTTCTATGTTAATCAAAAGGTTATGAGAGTAGTACGCTATAGATTGGATTTTTAGATTGAATTCTTGATTATTTGTGTCTTTGATTACAAATATTGATTTTATTTGCTTTCATCATATTTTCTGTTTCCATCATAACCCTCTAAATTCCTCACCAACGTGAATGGGAAAAGACAATGACACGACATTCAATTTGATAGAGGTAATTCAAAGTTGCCTCTTTCTTATCTTATTTGAAAGGACTAAACAAGAACCATTCATTTTCGACAAAATATCTTCTAGCAATGAAGTCGAATAAGAAATACTGTCATAAATTATAAACTTTGTTTGTAATCTTAAATGAAGTTTTATATTTAGTAACGGAGGCTGTATTAAGTAATTAATTTATAGATATTAAAAAATTAAGTTAGTTATCTCCAAAATAATGCGTGTTATTCCTTTAAAATGTTTAGTTTAATCTTTTACATTAGAAATTATCTCTTGCAAAAGTTGTTTTTAGTATGTATAATAAATAGGAATAATTTGACAAAAGTTAGAAATTAAATTAGTACTGCAACCAATAAGAATAATTCAGAAAAATTTATAATTTGAGAGACAAACTTGATTGAATTATATCCAAGTTCTTTATATTCATTATGTTAAGTTTTTTAATTACATATGACCGTGTATTTCCTTTTTGTCATATGGGTTTATAGTTTAATGATAATATTTTAAAAATAGGATATGTGGCAATGTGTGATTAGAAAACTTGATATAATAGATATAAAAAACTTGATATAAGTATTGTCTCAAAAGTCAAAACAAACTCTCAACTAATTCATATGTTTAGGGTGAGAAAGACTGTTTATTATAGAGGATTTCAAAATTCCAAAATGATTTCCGATGAGTTAGAATTCTATACTTTTTGCAGGCTAAAGTGTTTGATGATGGTTCTTAATTTTAGGATCTGTTTGGTACAAGGAAAACGGAGGGAAGAAAATTTTTTAATGATCTTGTTTTAAAAAATTGAAGAATTGGGGTTATAAAATTTTCATAAAAGGAAAATATAAGATAAAAGAGAGAGAAAATTAATTGGAAAATTTTAACCCCACTTCTCTAATTTTTTAAAATAAGCCCATTAAAATTTTCCTTCCATTCTCTTTCTCTCCATTTCCTTCATACCAAACAGACTCTTAGTTTGGATGAGAAGAAAAATATAGAAGAAATAATATCAAGACAGAAAACTCCTATTATTTTCTCCCTCCTATTATTTTCCTTTTTTTTTTCACTTCACCCATACCAAGGCTAAATGTAATATATTTTAATGCACTGATAAATAAATAAAAAAATCAAGTCATCATCTTGACATTGGAGATGTTATTGTTTGGTTGGACGAGAATGATTTTGAGGTGTGGAACCACGAAGACCAATGATCAAAAAGACAAAATAGAACTTTCAGGCAAAAAAAAAAGACAAAATAGAACCGCCAATAATAATTTATTCAGTTGATAAGGAGTCAGTTTGTAACTCATAAAGTTGTGAGTTCGAATCCCATTATCCATTTGATTTGATCAATTTGGTTGGGCTTGTGCTTTTTGTTTGCAGGCCTTCCTGATCCATTCAAATTTTGGGCCCAAGCCCATTTCTTGATACGAATTTATGCAGCATATTACCCAATACATTGTCATACACAATTGATTGGATATTCTCATGGGTTTATAGTGTCAAATGAACCTAGATCCTCTAAATATTATCCTATTTTTTTACTCATACCAACCCACAAAACTCAATGAGCCTCTCATGAATAAGCTTCAAAGATGCTTTTAGGAAGCGAAAGGTTCTTTCAGAAAGCATCTTTTATTGCAAGGGTAGAGTAGATATTCGTTGGGTGCAAATAATGAGTTTGGGAGTGTGCTTGACACCATATGGCTCAAAGTAAATATAATAATACATCAAGATGAAATTAAAATTCACTCACAGCAGGCAGATAATGTCGGACATACATGAAAGTCGAAGATCTTGCTATTCAGGCCTTCACAGCCTTACTCGGTACAACTTCAATTTAACCAGCCAAGTTTTGAGCTCAAAGATCCCAAGAGAAAAATCTCTAATGTGGGACATGAGTTTTTCACAAACTCACAAAATCATGTGCTAAAAACAAATCACAATAATGATAATAGAATATATGAGAATATGAAGCTGACAGTAGATATAATTTTACGAAATTCCTTTTTTATGGATTTTTAGTCAGCTGCAAGCTACCAAAAAAATTATTTGTTAAAATAATATAGGCCACTTACAACTAATATTTCTGTTTACTAGAAGTTTCATATAATGATTTGATTAAATTAACTTTAAAAGACGTTAATAGTGTTTATCTAAGAGATTAAACAAGAAATTAAATATAGTTAGTTGATAAATTAGAGATAAAGAAAGAAAAAATAAGGCACCATGAGAATTATCCTGATTCGGTCCTTTGATTTGTGTCCAGTCCTCTTGAAAAATACTCAAGAGATTTGCCCACTATAAAAATCCAATCCCAATGCCAGTAAGTTTCACAAAGAGAGCTCACCTACAAATCTTACAAGTCACAACTCTAAGATTTTTACATAACTTACTCATAAGTTGCATCTAAAGCTTTACACAGTTCACGCCCGAGCCAATACAGCTTAAGTAAACAGTAGTTATCTGCATAGGTTGCTCTTGAATAGCTAGATATTGAAAGCACTCTTGAGAACTCATACTCAAATTTCAACAATGATACTCAGAAGCATACGGTTAATCTGGAATGAACACTGATGAGATTCCTCCTCTTGTATTTCTTTTATTTATTGATCCAGTGACTAATTTCCTCTTTGATATCATTGTCAGTTATGCTTTGCTGCCAGATTCTGCAATAAAAGCATGTCAGTCAATGAGGATTCAATTTTTAAAAATATCAATTCTAAGTTGAAATAATTTTAAAATCATTTGTTTTCATCAAAACTAATGACCAATTTGCTAACAACTAAATATTTTATTGGAATCGGTAAATTAAACAATGAGATTCGTGTAGATGAAATTTACTCATTTACCTTCAAATACCAAAATATTAGATTCATTTTAAGACACGATCTTATATATTAAAATGAGTATCTAAAAGTTAGAAGTAGCAAATTATTGAGTGCAATTGTTGTCAAAGAGCAATTTAAAGAGTGTCAATTAAAACGTTAGACTCAGTAATGCTAAATCAATTATGCCTCATTGTTACTAAAGTGAAAAAGCAATTGAGAAGGAAATTCAATTATGCCTCATGACAATTGTTAATTGCATAATACCCATAAGCCACTTAATGTTGAAACCTGAAGAAGCAGAACACTAGAAATCAAATTTTCTATCCAACATATAATATGATTGAATGACCAAAAAGCAATGCTTCTTTTATGGTAACAAACCGAAATAGTGACCACTAATACTTTTTATTAACCATTACTCATGAATTAGCTAAAGTGGTTCCTTTAGATATTATATTACTGATGAGGCAAAATCGTGACCATTGAATAAGCTTTTTTTACCTGCCTTCCTTGCTTCTCATATAACTCTTTCTTCAAAACACAGCAATCTGATCAACTATTTTGACCTGATTCACTAAAGTACACAATATTAGAGTAAATTCAACAACACCTGAAAGTTTTCAATCACAATAACTAAAAGGTGATTAGTTTTAACAAATGAAAGTCAATAACATTCTGGTTTGTCACTTAAAATGAAAGCAACCTCAAGTGTACATGCCTACCTACCTATGTGACAAGTGTACATGATTCATATATCAGGCTCCATGCCTGCACATCTCATTATGCCTGCATAATAATTGCATTAAATTGAGTCAAATAAAGAAAGAATAATTCTAAATCTTGTCAGTCTTTGAAATCTATTGGCAAACAGGAAAAATTGCGATCCAATGAATTTGATCAATCAATCTCTTTAATACCAAGCAACTAAAAAGAGTAGGAAGATAAGATCGCAATATATAGAATATTTTAAGCAGTAATACAATTAAAATAAACAGAGAAAGAAAAAAGAAACTCAAGCCTTTAGTAACCCCATCCACAAAAGTTTATTAAACTAACTATAAATTGATTGAAGCCTTAACCTCTGAAAAACGAAATTCTTTGAGATAAAAAAGCTGATACTCACGTGAGCTTCTCATGAATCAACTCCCAAAGATGAAGAAAACAGAAGATGACAGCATTTTGATGATAGGAAAACAGAGAATCTGAAGCAGAGGATTATTTGATGGCACTCTGTCTTGATGGTCTTCAAAATCTTTCGGTGCTTTCAGAGTTTGAATTGTTCCACAAAGCTTTTCAAAAATCTGCAACCTCAAAAAAGAAACCGAATCAAACTTATTGTGCTTTGTAAATAATGCATGAATATAGAAAGATGAGACCCCAATGCATAGAGGTTGGGGTTCCAAATAGAATCTTATATATACTGGGAATGTGAAGCTTTAAAGATATACATTGGCATGAAGCTGATTCAATATTGTAACTAAAAAAGAGGGCACGTTTTACTTTCTCAAGTCAAGGGTATGTAAAAAAAATTCTTTGAAATTGCAAAAAACATTTCGTAAAAAAATGTAAAAGAAGAAAGAACAGAGCTCTGATTTTTTTATTAAAATCAATTATAAGACTCTCAACCAATCACCGTTTAAAGTTTTTTCCCCCTTGAACTTCCTGTATAAAACAAAACACTGATGAAAAATCAAATTTTTATATTGAGAGGGAGATAGCGGGGCGCTCAATAATTAAATAAACAATCAACTCAAAATTACAACACTATGAGGAATGATTATTAGTTATCTTACCAACCTTTAATCTCTACCAAAATAGCAGCAAATCATCCTTATCGCCTTTCATTTTTCTCAACCTGTTATCGTCAGAGAAAAGAATAAGATAACGATTTAAATACCTGTAGATATAATTTTACAAAACTAAACATAAAACACCATGTAATACAAACTACTGCTTGGCATGAACAACTGTATTAGCTTCTTACACGCTTTTTGCTTCCAATAGAGCTCTTTTATTTGGAAGCTCCCGAGTTTTATTGATTCCCTCACCTTCTCCCCTTGAAAGCCGAGTACGTTCTGTTCATCAAAGTTTCGAACAAGTTGCTCATTAAAAAGAAATGTCCAAGAAAAGACAAAAAATTATAAAGTCAAGCTTTAGGTTCCATCACGGTTAACATAATGATTATATAAAATCAGAATATGTGTGTGTATACATATAAAACTCTCATCACATTACAAATATAAGAAAGCAGAACATACTAGATACCAATCACTATAAAGGACGCCTAAATGTTAAAGCTAAGTATATATGGTTTCATGTCACACTTCATCGCATACAAATCTAATGCTACCTCCAGTCCTTTGTAGAGGAAGAGAAATAGTGAGAAAACAGTGAAAGAGAATGTACAAAAAAATAATAATACAATTACCAGGGGTAAATTTGGCAAAATGCATCTAATAATCAGGCAATCTCAAACTAGATCTCATCAAAAAGGCTAGACTAATTCAAAAATTTAGATCTTATAACAAAGACAGGAAGGAGTGCATTATACTGAGCCAAATAATATTGAAAGAATGCATGCTCATGAATAATCTTGCCAATCTTTAAAGTCAACTCATGTCAACATTTTTAATTGCATCGAAATCTTAGAGAGCTCACCTTGTGACGCTTCCCAAGGATCATAATATATGCCATCTATTTGTAAGGTAGGAATATGAGCAATCTCGGAGAAGTGTTGTCCTTTTTGATGGTCATATCTTTTACGTAATTTAGGACAGCCTAAGATATTGAGCTCCAAAAGAGAGGATGGCAGCTCATCTTCTGGCAAGAATTCAAGCTCTGGACACTCAGAGATATAGAGCTCTTCTAAACAAGTAAGGTGTCGAAGCCCTTTTCCATATAAAAACTTAAGATTAGAGAAATCACAGATGTCGATTCTCACGAGAGAAGTGGGTAATAATTGATACTTCAGTAAGTTACAGAGAGTCTTTTCACTTCCATCACCTTTGACCTGAAGTCCTGAGAGATATGTCAACTCTTGGAAACCCCATTTTTTAAGAGGGACGGAAGATAGTCGCTCACAGTCAACTATAACAAATGATCGCAAGGTAGAAGGCAAACCACATTCAGGCAGTGATTCCAAATTCGGAAGCTGAGAAAGAGAAAAGTACTTAAGGGTAGTGAGGGATTCACTTTGTACTTGTGACATTGATCTGAATTGCTTACAATCAGACAGAACAAGGGATTCTAAGGTAGGGGAAGACCCGTCAACTTGTGTAAATGTTTCCAGATTATGACAACCTTCAACCACCAGAATTTTAAGCTTGGGGAAACTACCTAATGGAAAGAATGTCAATGAATCGCAACTATTTTTAATGAGCAAAAATTCAATTCTGGTGTAGTTTTGCCAAGATTCCTGAGGTGGGAATTCTAATTTACTGCAATCTTCAATTCTAAGTCGCTGCAATGAAGTGGGCAAACCATGAATTGGCAAGGACTCTAAAGATGGGATGCTTTTGAGATACAATTTTTGAAGGCAGTGACATGCCGATATCATTCTAGACAAAGACTGCAAGCTGGAACAATCAGTAATTCTCAGGCGTTTCAATGAGTCTAGAGAAAAATTTTCAATGGCCCTCAGCAAGTCCTTTTCCCCTTGGTTAATGTTTAATTTTTGAATGCAAGCAATCCATTTCAATGCTGATGATTTGGCTTCCAAATGACTGCAGTTTAGTATATCGACCTTTCTCAGTGATGGAAGATTGTCGGGCATGTCTCCCTTCAACTGAGGACAATTATACAAGTACAAATGTTTGAGACTGGGAAAGGGAAATTCGATACCCTCACCTTTAAATGGTGTCCTCCATTGCTCCCAAGCCGGCATATCTTCAAATTTTAGAATTTCCAAGGACGGAAATGGATGAAATGAAGAGGAGCCTGCTTGATTGCAATAGAACTCATGCCCAACTATCTTTACAGAAGCCATTCCTTGAATTGAAAGCTCTTTAAGAGAAGGTAATTGCCCAAAAGGTGGAAGGGATAAACAACCTTTGCAATTGCTCACGCATAAAAAGGTGATATTGGTAAATGAAGAATCTCCCACCCAATTTGGAAAGCTAGTACCACCATAACGGTTGATGGTCAATCTCTGTAACTTTGCTGAAGGATGAAACATGTTAAGTATATTTTTCACTGTTGGTGAGTCTTGAGAATCATCACTATCCCACTCCAACACTAACTCCTCAATTTTCTCTCTTCTCTTCAACTTTGCCTCGAAAGCATCCATGGGATCAACAACATTTTGTAACTTCAAAATTGAAAGCTTGCCTTCTAGATGAGGTAGCTTTCTTAACTCCTTGATTCTCAATCCATCCGATTGTTTGCTCACCACAAAAGTACTCAAACTATGAAGATTTTGTAGTTTGGTAATCTGTGTTGGCATCTCCTTCAAAGCAGTGCCGGTGATATCCAGGTGACGTAGGTTGACAAGCTTTTCTATACTCTTAGGCAATTCACTGAAAGACTTACAGTATGATAAAAGCAAAGTCTGCAAATTACAAAGTTTAAAGGTGGCATCAGGCAACCTTGTGATTTTAGTATAGGATAGATCAAGATACCACAGATGTTTCAAATTGCCAATTGAATCAGGCAACTCGGTGATATTGGAATACATGGACAAAGACAATACCCTTAGACGTGTCAGTTTTGGCAGCAAATCATGTGAGACCTTTTTGCTCAAGACACATGATTCTATAAATGGCCAAGTTTGTTGCGGCAGGAAAGTCCTCAAAGAACTTAGGTGATAAAAACTCTTGAACATTTCAGAGCCATCGTATCCTTGTTTGGGATATGATACATGGCGAGCAGTAGTTGTTGGGATTTCATCACCTTCGAACCAAATACAAATGTTGCCAGACACAAGCTTGGCTAAATCGATGATGAGATCATGCATGATAAACTTTTCTGGATGATCTTCATGCTGATGAATGAATGATCTAGATAGTAATTCATTAAAGCAGTTATCTGATTCGATCTCCAGTTCGGAGTATTGTTGTACAAAACCTTCAGCCATCCATAACAAGACCAATTGCTTCCTATCCAATGCGTGATCTTTTGGGAATATGGAGCAATAAGCAAAACATCTCTTTAAATGTGGTGGAAGATAAACATAACTCAGATACAAAGCAGGTAGAACATCATCTCTTGGCAAGTCCCACATATTACTATTTAGAATTCTATACCATTCCTTTTCATCCACTTTTGAACGCAAAAGACCTCCAATTGATCTGGCAGCAATCGGTAGCCCACAACATTTTCTTGCAATTTTCCTTCCGATTGCTTCTAGCTCTGGATGCTTGTTAAGATCTTCCTTTTTAAGTGTATGCTTGGCTAGTAAACACCAACAATTTTCATTAGAGAGAGTTGACAACTTATACGCAGGAAATGTATGTGTAATTTCAGCAACTCTTTGTTGGCGAGTTGTTATGATGATCTTACTCCCCCTTTTTCCATTGCGGAAAGGAGCAACCAGATCATCCCAATCACTATATCTATCATTCCACAGATCATCCATTACAATCAAAAATTTTTTGCCCCTCAAGCTATTTCTCAGTTCAACTTGAAGAATTTCTAGATTTTTGCTATTATGAGCTTTTGAGCTGACAGATTCTAAAATATTCTTGGTCACCTCAAAAACATTGAAATCTTCGGAAACACATGTCCAAGCCTTCAAATCAAAATATTGCTGCACTTTCTCATCATTATAAAGCAGTTGAGCAAGGGTTGTTTTACCAACCCCACCGATGCCCCAGATGGCGATCACTCCTATATTATTACCCTCTTCGTTTTCATCACACCCAAGCATGTTCAACAGTTTCTCCTTATCATCCTCTCTGCCAACTACAACAGACTCATTTACTAGTGAAGTTGTAGTCTTTTTATGTGCCCTCCGGCTAACACTCTGCAAATGAAGGATATCTTTTTGTTCAGCAAAGAGGTTAAGCCTTTGGTGTATTTCTTTAAGCTTCTGGTTCATTTTCCAGTACATTCCGCCAACAGAAGGAGAAAAGAAGGAGATCAACTTATCAGAAACTTCCTGAGAATCTTGTTCCACCTGGTATCTGAGAGAGTCAGTGTTGATTTCATCCAACAAATCTTCTGCATCATAAATGGCATCTTTCAACTCTTCAAGCCATCTTTTCACTGCAGGACTAGTGATCTGCTTCTCGTCAGCATCAATGAGAATAGCATCAAGCATAATGAGAGTTATCTTCAGGTCATCCAAGAGTCGAACATTTAGCTCTCTGTCCTTAACAAATTCTCGGAACTTACTTGAGGTTATACAGTCTAGTATGGTTTGGATGGTCGGAGAAAGCACTGCTCCCACCACTGCGGCGTCCATGCTTTTCGGGGGGAAGAACTCAAAGATAATGAGGTGTGAGATAATTTGAGGGGGAGAAGATGAGTCTGATGAGCATAGCAATAATGGAGCTAAAAGATTGGTTTGCGTTGACTGTGAGAACACTTGAATTGTAAGTTCATTGGCTTTGACTGATTCTCTCTTGTAATATTCTGGGAGCATATCGAGGAGGAGGGATAATTATTTGAACAAAAAGGCTATTACATGAAGAGTTGTAATTTTTATACCTGCGATATTGATTATATATATGTCAGCAGGCCAAAAAAAAAAATATTGATTATATGTCAAGGGAGTTTTATTGGTGTAGTGGTGAAACAAATAATTTAAAAGGGCATTTTAAGAAAATCACCATACATTTTTCATAAATAACTAATTTAAATATTTTTTTTAATCTGTACAAATTAATTCTCTAGTTCCTATATCAACTATTGGTCATTATTCTTAGTTTGGATGGAAAGAAAAACATAGAGAAAATTATACTAAGTGGGAAAATTTTAAAAAATAATAAAAAGAAAAATTATTTTTGGGAGTTTTCCCTCCAAGTACTCTTTTTCTCCCATTTTTTCATCCAAAAATATGATATATTTTAATGCATTTGTAAATAAAATATCAAGTCATAATGCTGACGTGGAGATGTTTGGTTGGAACTCCAGAATTGTTTTGGAGCGGGGAACAACAAAGACCAGACAGTCAAAAAGACAGAAGATCATAAATAAGGAAGATAAGAAGGACATGCATTTTCCAAAATGGTAGGCCATTCTCAATAACTTGTTTGTTCTTTCATGAAAGACACTACCCAACCAACCAGTCATTTTTTTCCAAAAGCATCTTTTCGTGGTATTGTTGAATGCGAGAATATTAACTAGGAAAAATTTCGGAGGCCTTAAAAGTTAAAATTAAACTTTGGTTTTCTTAAAGCTTTGGTCTTTCTCAGTAATGTTAAAAATTCGTTGTTCTTGATAATAGTTGATTTCCTTTCATGATTTTTTTGTGTCGTTCTCCTTACAAAGTAAATATAAAAAAATTCAGTCAAATCAATTATAAGAGTGTTTTAATTTATATTTTTTTTAATGCTTCTGTAGAGCACTGGTTTGTTGAAAATTTAAAGGGACATAACTGGATTATTTTCCATCTATTCACATTATTCAGACAAATTCAAGGCGAGGCGGATGGCTTAATGGTATTGCAAATATAATAGCGGGAAAAAGCTTTTCACTATTTCAAAAAACAAAATCTATAGTTTTCATTTTTTTTTACCTGAATATAATTTTTCACTAAGACTTTAAAATGACCGTAACAACAGAGAAGTCTAAATACCGGAAAGATAAAGATAGATGGGGGAAAAAAAAAGCTACATGAACTAGACTACAACAACAATAATAACAAGCCTTATCCCACTAGATATGGTTGGCTAAATGGATCACATGACACCATTATACTCTATTAACAACTAAGCCTTTAGATAGATAGTTAACCAAAAGGTTTCATTAACAACTAAATCAGATAATGACTTCAATGAATTTTTTCCTCAGTCTTCTTTGTCTTTTGTTAAAGGACTTCAAGTTGTCTAATTTACCCTCATTAGTGGTGCCTCCAATGGTTTCTCTGCACATGATAAAACCACCATGTACTCTTGCTCTAATATTTTTATTTTGAATCTTATCATTTCTTGCATGATTATACATTCATTTCAATATCCTTATTTCTGATACCATAACTTTATGCTCTTGTTTTTCCTTTAGAGCCCAACATTCACTATCATTTAATGTAGCTGATGTTATAGTGATCTGATAGAATTTTTTTTAAGCTTATCCTGAAAATAGAAAGGGGCTCAGTTCCGGAACAATTCTTTTGTGTATTTGCAGAGTAGCACTAGCTAGTCGCATCCTGAGATAATAAAGAAAACATAGAAGGTGGTGGCTACACCTCGGAGGGCACATGTTCCTTGGTACCATGATTGTTAAATACTCTCGGGTTCTATTTATAAGTTTCAAATATGAGGAAGAGTATGGTTCATTTATAAGCTTCAATTTCGGTTCGTCTTAACATTTAATGCATTTTTTTGATTCTATTCTTTATTATTTATTTTCTCTCCTATGCCATACTCTCTCTTATCACTTTTTTTTTTTTTTACATATTGTCTTTCACCTTTTTTCCCCATTTATTATAAGAACATATTTAAAAGGAAAAATATATTTCTAATCTATTTAAAGAGTCTAAGAGAAATGGGCCCCGAAAGGGTTCCACCTTTGAAGGCACATGATTTTGGATCAAATAATTTTCTTCTTACCAACAAGAATTGATCTAGTTAGTAAGGAGTCGGCTGATAACCTACAATGTTGTGAGTTCGAATCCTACTGCTGATGTGAGGACTTTATTAATAGGTGATCTATAAGTATCTCTATAAGTACTCTTTGAACTTAGAGACATGTCCTGGCTCTGATGAGCCCTTAATTAGGGTACAACTCACTTAAATTTTGTGTTGTAAAAACATTTTTGTCCTTATATATTTTTTGGCCTTATTAGGGAGAAAAATCTTAAACCCTTGGACCTATTGAATGCTAGGTAAAATTTTCAATGACCCAATTTTTTTCAAATGCCATTTCACTTCATTCCACTCTATCCTTTACCATCTTTTCAAACACTAATAATATTTTCAGGTATGGTGAAAAAAGAATAATTTATTTGATAATGAAAAAATGATAATAAATATAGTATTGCAACGTAACATTTAATTAAATACACCAAATTATTAATTATAAAAAAGTTATGTATTTTTATGCATACTCTTTTTGGATCATTAAACCACTCATTATCGGTTTGTTTGATCAACATCAAATATCAATAAAGTTTAAAGACATCCCCCAATCTACAAGTTGCAGATTAAGGGTGTAATTTATACCACAAGCTGTAATTTTTTTTTTTTTTGGCTTAAGGCGCTGTTAGGCACCTCTTCCAACAGATATTCCAACTTTAATTCATCAACCTGTGCCATTTTCGTTAGATACAACTCCTGATGATAATTTAATAAAATGAACTAGCGCCGCCTAATTTTTTTCCTAAGCGTAGGGAGTTTGTCATGCTGTGGTATGGCTGGGCAAAAGTCTAGGTAACCCTGATCCAACTCCAGGAGACATGGTCCAACCTAGTCTAGGAAAATAAGCCCGATAGCATAAACTTACCAGATTGATTGGTCGGGCTTAATCACGTTCAAGACCAAGTGATCAAAACACTTAGTGGTCTAACTCGCGTAATTTTTTTTTTTAATTGTTTCCTCTCCAACCTTATTAGACAATGTCCTTCTAGGTTTTAGCCTTCATTTCATTTTTGGCTTTTAGTTTACTATTTCTCGACGCTCATCTCTAGTAATTGCATGCTACAGGATTGAAGAAGCCCTAGTAGTGACAGCCTCTATCCTTCCCTCACTCAATCATCTCTTTCTCTTCTTGACATCGCTCCCTCTGGTTCTTCTTTGGTGGCGTCGCTAGCTGTAGTACTCATTTTTCCCTTTCATCAAATCTACTTTGTTGTTGTTATGCTTTTCTGGTTTGTGTTCCAAAAATGATCACTCCCTCTCTTATTAGGGCTAAAACAGCCATGATGTGCTTACGAAGTGCTTGCTGTCATAGATCGTCTCTAACCATTTTCATTTCTACTCACCTGCTTCTAGTTTTTCTTCCTTCTTCTTTCAGCCGCCATTCTCTTCAATCTCAACCCAAGAAAGAACGATATGCAATTAGTTAATGAGTATAGCAAGTCATTTTACAACTTCAAAATAAGGCCTTGCAACTAGTCTTTGTATTGTCTTAGAAGGATTGCCATTCTTTAACATTTCTTACTTGTAGAAGTTAGATATTCTACTGTTACAAACAGATGAATATGTAAGGAACATATTTGTCCGTTCCTTTGTCCACATCCCTGTGTAAATAGACAAAAAAGGGGCCTTCAGAATAGACAAAAATGGGCCTTTTTTTTAAGTTGTGTGGTAGTAGTCAAAGCTATATATTTTGCCAGTTCAAAAGATAAAAACCCAACATTGACATTGTATCCTATTATGGAGTAATAGAAAAGATATGAGAGGTTAATTGTACTAAGTTTAAAGTTTCCATCTTCAAACACAAGTGGGTCAATAGTAATATTATGTAAGTAGATAAAGAATTTGGATTTGTTTCGGTTGATCTTGAGAGAGTTGGATATAGAGATGAGTCATTTATTTTAGCATATTAGGCGAAACAACTATTTTATATCACTGATCTAACAAAAAAAAAAATTGTATATCATGCTCCAAGTTAAGAGGCAAGCAGTTGGTGGAGACGATGATGGCTCAGAGTTCAACCTCGACGAACCCACCTTTCATAGCTATTTGACCTAAAACAGCTGAATTAGATTTGGTAGATAACAAATATATTATTAGGGATGGTCATTATGAAGGAATTTGGGAGGATAATCATTAGTAAGGCATAAATCAATAATTTAATCTATTAATATGGACTATTTTGTAAAAAAAAAAAAGAATAAATATGGAAGACAAAGTAGATCAAAGTCTTATATTTAAGACCAAGTTGAATTTCTAATTAACTTTTATATTTAGGATCAAAGGTAATATTTCTTAAAAGAGAGAATTACAATAAGATTCGAAGGAAAAAATAATTACTAGTAGAATTCTAATAATAAGTGAGTAGTTGTCATTTACTGCCATAGAACTTACTATTACAAACTATTTTGTTATTACTGAGACTTTTTAATAATTATATTTGTTGGGTGTTTTTCTTTAATATTTTGCAGGTGATGCTGAGTTATTATTGTGGCTTCATTTCATTTTTTTTATTCTAATAATTCCCAACTAACAAGGGTTTTCTTGACCTTTAACGTTTTCCCTAGCATTTTCTCTTCTATGAACTCACCACTTAATAATAATAATATTCTCCACATATACTAACACCGTTTTACTTTACAATTTTTATTACATATTTTCAAATTTATTCT